GCGAATGTTTGCGAATGCTCTCGGACCGTGTGTACTCAGCACTTGAAACGGCCCGAATGGTAATTGAAGTTTTCATTTTGAGTTTTTGTTTTGTTTAAATATTACAATGAAATGAATGTTGAATCTAAACATTCGTATGGACGCATGAGTGGTTTATTTGATGGTCATGACAAGTTGACTTTATACAAGGTGTAATTAAAAACAATGCAATCTAAAAGGGGTGATTCAAATGTCATAAACTTTTTGTAAGGGTAAATATTTAAAAATAACTATTTTCCTTGCACCAACTGTAGCGACTCGGGTGTGTTCTTATTAGCAAAAGCAGCAAGTCTGTCGAACTCTATAAAAACACTGGTTAAAGTTATAGTTACGGATAAAATTAAGGAGATGCATCTTAGCTCAGAATTACATATTATTATTAGTAACCTAAAAACTTATGTAAGAAGTGTATGTTTTTGTTTATCAGTACGAAAACATTTCACATGGTTTTCAAATGAGATTACTCCACAAAAAACACTTGATATAATACCAAAGCGTCACCAATCACCAATCTGTCACAGTTATCCGCATCACTCAATACGTAACTGAGCGTCGACAAATTGCCCGCGACGCGACATGCGCCTTCGTAGGGTCCGTGGCCGAGTCCCCCAGTATTCGACGCACCCGTGGTTGAAGCCCCCGATTTAAATAAATTTAATATCATATTTTTTTCGGCTTTTGCACTAAGTACAGTCAACGAAAACCATGCATGTTTGACGCTATTTAAAATGATGTATTTATTTTTTTGTTAAAAATACTTAAAACTTTTATAATTAGAACTTTTATTTGTAGTTAGTTAAATGTAGAGAGAGTAGAGTTATTTTAAAGACTGATTGTTAAAATTATTTTGATTAGATAAAACGATTTACATGTTATTATAGGTAAATAAAACTTATGATAAAATATGATAGGTTAAAATAAAACCTATTATATTTTTAGGTATCACTATGGTAAAATAATATTAAACATATATTTGTACGATCAGTATAAATATTTATTCGTTTATAAATATTTTTGTGACTGACTGTACATTTGATTAAAAATTGCTTCTATCTGACCGGGGGCGTCGACCACGGGTGCGTCGAACACAGGGGGACTCGGCCACGGACCCCCTTCGTAGCGCTAGTACTTATTACATGGAATAACGTCACTTTTTTGTAAATCCAAATATCATGCTCTTGTTATTTCATGATAACATTTGAAAATAAAATAAGGTAAATTAGAATAGTCCTCAAAGACACTTGATGGCAATACCAAAAGCTTCGCCTGTCACCGATCTGTCACAGTCAAGGTTATCCGCGTCACTTAATACGTAACAGAGCGTCGGCAAATTGCCCGCGACGCGACACGCTCCTTCAGAGCACGAACATTTATCTAATAAGAAAATATTTGTTTCTGTCTTTACATTTCATTGATAAACAAAATACTTTATTTTATTGCGTTACCAAAATTTAAAGGTGAATATAGACCATAGCATTTACTTGTAACAGAACAGCAAGCTGCTCTATGAAATATCTATGTAGTTGTATCACCCTTTCACGAACCAAACGTCTTACTTTTTACCTGTATTGTACCATTCGCAAGAACGTTACATTACATAGAAATGCTCTAGTATATACTCACCTTAAAACTCTGTCACCATCTTAACCGTCACTACAGAAAACGAACTCCATTTTAATCATTTTTTGTCATACTACCGAGAGAGATTGCTCAATGTTTTGACAACAATAAGCCCCTTGTTACGTTGTCACAACTGTCAAAAGACAGTTGACATGTCAATGGGTCACGTGATTCGGGTCGCACTGACCACTGACAGCTAATCAATGGCACTATATCAATTGAATAAAGGGTTACTTGGGTAGCAGGGTAACAAAATTTAAAATTTTGTGAGTTAGAGTTTAAATTAAGACATTATTGTTTTGCTATATTTATGTAAAAAGAAACTTATTTATTATTTATACCTGACTGTGCTAGAAGGAGAGTTATTTAACCCTACCACTGCTTCGAGACAATAAACGTGCCAGTGCTGAGAAGAAGCAGCGCAAGAAACTCGTTCACTACCTTTGTGATATCCAAAATTTACTAGTGTTCTTTCTTTTTTTTCCTAAAGCTGAAGCATTCGCAAACACACTAACAGCTTAGAATAGCCACTAGCGCTCTTCATTTGGCCAAAAAAGGCAATTAAGTAAAGGAGATGTCTTACAATCTACACATATTCGTTGCAAATTCACACGTATTACAACTGCATAGAGTAGTTTACCTTGCCGTGCGGTACAGAGTAAACAGGATCGCATTCAGAGCGGTGGGCACTCAATTAACGGAGTGTCATTACCGTGTGTGTGCGCAGGACAAACAAGGGTGGTACGCGTAAAGACGGTAGCAGGGAAACTTGCCCAAGATAATACGGTACAGAGAAAAAGATTCGGGTAATATGGTGGCAAATACAGAAAAAAAGATTCAGCGAGACTTGACCTGCCCTGTCAAGCTACCAATTTGCTCTGAACGTAGCAGAACGTATTCGTGGTTAAGAAGAAAGTAACCGACTCTCAGTCAACAATAAGAAATAACTAATATCTCATCACCTCTAGCAATACCAGGCATAATTCCTTGAGAACGCTTCTCGACATAAAACTACACTGATTAGGCAGATGCGCAGTCCTCAGTGCTCACAATATAAAGATTCAGTACTAAGAATATAAGGTGTCATTTTTTATACTGATCATACTTTACCAACGCATCTAATAAAATCATACAAATACAACCCAAGTGTTTTTAAAAAAAAAATCAGGCTAGTTTTTGTTTTTACTTTTCCTAACAAAAAAAAGATATTATTTTTACAACCATCCTGTCTTCACTCACTGCCTCTCTCTCTTTCTTTTCTCATTTCATTCATACGAGTACGAACAATGGCCGCGCGCGTTCATTCAACGTTCACACACATTAAGGTTAGATTACACTAAACCTACGTTACCTAAAATTATCACTCGTGAGTATGTACGATGTTACGTCATGTTAATACGTACTACGCGCTGGGAGAAACAAAATCTAGCCACATAAGTAGGTAAATAAGTGTATTTTCATTAGTGTAATAGCGGGGGATTTTTCCAACGAACCGAGGCGAATCATGCGAGTTAAACTAGAAATTTAAAAAAGGATAGAAATTGGAATTCAATATCTACGTTTTCGTAATGCCTACGCAATTTATTTAGAGACGTAATAAAAAATTGATAGGTACATACCTATTACTACTTCGCTTCGCTTCAGTGGAAATGCACCCTAATATTGAATATGAATAGGTCTTGTAAATAAAACTCACTGATCAATTTTCCTGGTTTTAATTCCTAAATTATGATTTGCCATCACACTTTAGATTCATTGATTCACACATTTACCGATTTTGAATGTTGTTATTTAAAGTTCCTAGGTTATTATTACACTAATCACAATACATTTTGAACGTCAAGCCTTTTTTGTACTTTGTTCACGTAAACACTGTCTTGCACTGTCTAATCTAGCCACGATCGAATTGAGGTAATGCTTCCGGGCTGCACACTTGCTTGCTGTTCACTAGACACCACGTCGGATGTTGTATTCACAATTCGCGCACTAACTTTTTTACGGAAAAAGTCCATTTCGCGTAAACAAGCACTCATCTGTCCAAATCACACTGTAGGTATGTACCTAGGTAGACTTCCGCAATATCCATCGATAGAACACGGTCGCGGTCGTGGCCCTCTGGCAACAACTCCTTGATAAGGCATTCCGTAAGTATTTTTACGCAAAAGCCGCCGTCTGTGGCGCTCGCATCTGGGTACCGCCAGCACTGTGCCGGTGATTGAAATTGAAATCCAGAACTTCGTCCTCGAAGCGCACGGGATCTCGTCAAGTCAGGATACGGCAAGGTGTGAAGGTTTTCGACTCGTCAATGTTTCTCGTCGGCCAGTCAGTGTGCCCGTAACATAATTTCACCTGCGTTTTGTTATTTATCAAGCGCGGCATTGTAATAACTGGCACATACACTGCAATACGTTAGGGGACATTAGACGGACTGGGACGATTGTTTATGTTGTAAGTTGTTGCGCTCCCGCATGCCGATCGGCGGCTCGGCGCGGGCTGTGGGCGCGGAGCGACTGGCAGCGATATCAATATGGCCGACTCACGCGGCGCGGCACGTGGCAGCGGTCGTTGCCCTCGGCCGGCTACTACGATAGTGCGTAAACGAGTACTCACCGCCAGGCCTGGCTCACTCCGCGCGGTACATCCGATAATTACTTACAGCGGAGCGCCCCACAGTGGTCTGNTTATATAATGGACCAGCTACACTAGAGCTCTCAACAGAAGGTCAGTCCTCAGTCATTATCTTCTCATTTGATGGATCGGTCACAACATGAAAGTCAAGCTATTGTGACTGACCTGCACAATATGATGGTCCAGCTCCGCTAAAGCTCGCAACAGATGAGCAGTTCTCGCAGCCCGTACGAAGCCGCCGCTACCATCGCCACCAATCTGCGCTCCACGCGCGAACAGCACGTAGAACATTACCAGTCCCCAGTACTAAGAATATAATGGTCCAGCTCCCAACAAAAGAGCAGTTCTACCCTACACAATATGTAGTGACCCAGTTACGCTAGAGCTCTCAACAAATGGCTAGCCGTCCAGTCCTAAGAATGTAATGGTCCAGGTCCTAAAAAAAGAGCAGCTATGTCTCTGACCTGCACAATATGATGGTCCAGCTCCGCTAAAGCTCGCAACAGATGAGCAGTTCTCGCAGCCCGTACATAGCCGCCGCTGCCATCGCCACCGATCTGCGCTCCACGAGCGAACAGCACGCATAAAATGAGCAGTTTTCAGTCAGACCTAAGGATGGTGGTCCATTTACGCTAAAGAACTCAGCAAAAGGCCTTAGTCCCAAGACGATGGGTCAAGATCTTAAAACAGTAGGCCTGTTCTACTACACTGACCTGCACAATATGATGGTCCAGCTCAGCCAAAGCCCTCAACAGATGAGCAGTCCTAGCCGCCCGTACGAAGCCGCCGCTACCGTCGCCGCCGATCTGCGCTCCACGCGCGAAAAGCACGCAGAACTCCGCTCGGGAGCCACACATGCCGGTGCCGAGGGCGCAGCGGAGCGACTGGGTCGCTGATATGCGCTCGGAGCCCTGGGTAAAGTCATTTTGGATTCAAAAATCAAATAAAACCTTCCTTTATTTGTTAAAAAATCGTCAAATCCTTCTCTTCATCATCACTGAGTCTCATATAGAGGAAAAGACCCTCTCTCATTAACCTAAGACAAATAAGAGTGAAAACCGATCATTATGGAAATCATTGGGGGACGCCTATGATCTGCAGTGGACGTCCTATGGCTGACAAGATGATGATGACATGGAAATTTGATCTACATTCCAAGCTGCCTAATAGGCATTTTCTCCCTTAATCATAGCTTTAAAGGAGTTTTTACACTCTGACTTTTTTGACCTATCAGCGCGCTTGGAGACAAACATTTGGACAACCGGAGAAAAAACTCAGCCACTATCAGATTACATAACGAAGATCGGCTACGTAAAGCAATCTTCGGGCGCACCAGCGCCGCCAATACAGTTAAGAGTCGAAGTGGTCGCCATTGCCGAACTCGGGTGAATTAATCATCATCATCACATAACATAGCCACAAAACAATGGCAAGAAATAAGAGAAGTACTCACCACATCGACGTCACAAGGGTGACACAGGTCGGCGCAGACGGTGAGCAGGGTTTGGATGCTCTCGCGCGCTTCGCCAGCTTTCTCAGCCTTGGTGATGCAGCCGCAGAGGCAGATGTAGCTGGAACAAACACGGTGAATCAAAATTCTTGTATTTTTGTTGCAAAATCGCTCCTACTAAGATGTCACAGTGTTTAGCTTAATATGCTGTCGTCCGTGTATATTTCAGACATATTATTCCTCCGGCGAGGGAAGTGTTGAAGTCACTTTTTTATGGTCTTAACATACTTAGGAAGGGTGAATTCAAACTTGCACAGACCTTATGCCTACATCATGCTCTAATATTTTGCTATTGTGTCTATTTTGTGAACAGTGAATGAGTTAATACTACACTCGCGAGCAAAAGTGTGGAATCACTTACATGACGTTTTTTCCACGCGATCTTGTGTACTAACGAATTTGTTAGGGACAAAAAAAGTGGCACCATTTTAAAGATTAAACTTTTACCTTTAAATGGATACCAAATTTGTTTAAATCACACCAGTATTTAAAAAGATATCCCGGCTGATGTGAAGAAGTAACGAAAAAGACATGTATGAACTGTTTGATACGTCGCGAGTTGCGGCCTATTTACCCCCTATAAAAGCACGCGTTTTCGGATTTTTGCTTTCACACGTTGATTCATACACATCTCCGCTTCTTTTGACTCTTTACCTGGGATTCTACAGCTTCAGAAGCAGCACAAATCGTTGCACTATTGCAAGAAGGGCTCAGCCAGCGGGCTGTCGCACGTCAGCGCCACATAAGCCAGTCCTGGGTTTCGAAAGTTTTAAGACGCTTTCATTATTTTTTTCATGTAAGTGATTCCATAGTTTTGCTCGCGAGTGTATAATTAACAACATTTTTACATGCATTAAGTTCTCATTAATGAACCTCATTTTGCAAACCTTAATTTAGTTTTCCTTACATAACTTTTAGGTAAAATATTTAATTCATTTCATATTACCTCTACACTTCTATCGTAAAATGTCCAAGGATATTTATTATTCCATTTCATTATTAAATTCTGGGAAAAGCGTGAATAATAAATAATAAGCATCGGTCAACGATCGTCGTAATGAAACTTTATTTTTCTTGTCCATTTTCGGACAACGTCAGTGTAAACAGAAAGCAATTTGCGTCCAAAAATAAATGGCGCTAAAATTATACTGGTTATAATTAAACCCTTGCTTTTTTGGCTTTGGATTAAGCAATTCCTGGCAATTTTGGTTGTTTGTTTGGATAACAAATGGGTAATGTCCAAAAGTTAAAAGCTATCACAGCGCTCGCATTGGTATTAAATGAAAGGAAGATGACAAAATAGAATTTGCGTTGCAGCTTTGTAAATCGTAAAACAGCATGTCTTTTTATTTCCTTTTTTGATTGTTTTATCTCCATTAGTCTATGATTTGTGCAATCTATGACTCTGTTAATGTAAGATCTTTATTTTGTGATACAATAGTGATTGAGTTAAATGTAATTACTACATTATATCATTTATAAAGAAAATCAATGTTTGTTAAAGAATTCCAGTTTTCTAAACCATAATTAGAATTAATTTTGACTTTGTAGATTTTTATGAGGCAAACGAGCAGACGGTACAGGAACCATGACAATTTAATAAGATTCAGACTCTCACAATCAGCCTTATTTCACACTAAATACGAGTGACTTTTACATGGCACCTATAACTGAAGAGTTCACCGCGTAGGTAGATGACATGGTGATATTATAGAGCCCTGGACCAAGTAGCGTCCCCTGTTTGCGAGCAAATCCGGATGAAACACAAACACGGCTTGTTGACGCGGACCGACAAACAAATATTACGACATCGGTCGGGGACAACATACCATATTATGTGGATGGAATATATTGTGTACCTATGTTTTGTAAATTCATACATATTAAGAATTCTGTAATGGATCAAGGACGATCCAGAGTGATAAAACGGAATCTTTAACTAATAGACGAGAATTTAAATCCTATTTTCAAAGTCAAATTCATTGATAGCACAATACTTAAGAGACAATATAATTTTAAAGTAGCTACGACAAAGATTTTTCATGAAACGGCTGAGTAGTCTTTTCTGCGAATGATGCACTCATTGATGATCAGAAAAGACTAGAAAGGAAGTATGTTGTTAAGAAAGTTTGAAATCAGAGTTAAAAGTGGGTGGTGCACACAGCCCACTTTTTACTCTGATTTCAAACTTCCTTAAAATATCTCATTTTACTGGTAATGAAAACTAAATGGGTGTAATGCCTAAAAGGGTTAATGGTGTTAACTACTCAATTAGTTGTGAAAACTTTTTAAGGTTAATGTTTAACACAAATCGAACTATCTTAAAGTCTTTAGTAGGTTTAGTGAGCTGGGCAGATAACCTGTTATCGATATTTGACACGAAGTCGTGTAGTAATCGAATCAAAAATGAGGGGATCCCCAGGAATACATAGCTCGTAGAGATGATAGCTGTTGGGCCAGAAAAGTTCTCTTGGCGACCACGGGCCGGAAGACGTCACGTGGACAGGCCTCTCACTAGGTGGACCGACGATCTGGTAAATGTTGCAGGAAGAACCTGGATGCGGGCAGAGCAGGACCGGTCGTTATGGATATCCTCAGGAAAGGCCTTTGTCTAGCAGTGACGTCATTTGGCTGAAACGAACGTGTAGCACTTTTGAAAGAAAACTCAAAAGCACACTAAAAGCTCTCCATAAACAATATCTCTGCATACTTAAACATTTTTCCCGAAAAATAAACTCCTCTCCCCAGATCCAATTACAATCCGTCCAAATATTTATCCTGCATTGAGGTAGAGCCACATCTATTTGTTGTGGCGTGACTAGATTTTGCCAGATATTGAATAGCATTCCATTTAGGTAATCGAATTAACCAAAGTGATTTTTATAGCTGTAAGTGAAAATGACGATGCTTAGCCTAATATGGGGAAAAAACCCAGAGTGAACAGACACCTTGCAAAGGTTGGACTGTTGGCGTGGCGCAACACGACGTACTAATGTGAATCCAGCTTTAAAGGGGAACCGAATGCGGCCAGTTCGCGCACGGATTCGCTGACGAGACCACGGCTGGATAATTGGGATGAATCTTTGAGGGGTTGGGATTGAAACATCAATGGGGTTTATCCAACCATTAGATACTTCCCAAGAATGCTTTTATATGGGAAAAAAATCTCATTATTATAAAAGCATCTTGTGTTAGTTAAAAAATTAAGAAAACAACATTTCTGATACCTCAAATAGATACAATTTATGAAAAAATATTCAATCGATTTTTTTATGTTAATGACTATTTCAAAGAGGAACATGAAACCAATAATGACACATTATAATTTATTCAAAACCGCGTAATTACCCGAACCTTTTCTTTATCGGCGGCGTTCAAAAAAGGAAAAGTCAAAAAACATGGCGCCCGATGGAACGTTAGGAATTCAAAATTGGAATTCGGATTACCGCCGTCTGATTGGTCACTCACGCATAACGTATCAACTACAAAATGACACTCTTCAATCACTCCAATCGAAACTGAACTATGAGGAGGTACAGTTAAGGTACAATTTTCAAGTGTGGGTCTAATGATAATGGTCCAAGACATGGGAGACCTCCATGTGTCGCTCTGACGGGTCAAGATAACCTAATCTTAAATATTTCTTGGCCAGACTGGACGGAAAGGTCAGTAAGATACTGAGCCTGCAACATTTCAAACGTCTGGGAAGAATCGGACAGCTAAACTATAGATAAAGGCGACGTAATCGGGTTTTACAGGGTTTAAAAAATTGTTCTCAGTCAAAAGGCTGTACAATCGACACATTTTTGTTGCAAACTACAACTGAATAAGGTGCATGATGATGTATTGCTTCTTCTTACTCAGTCCCTCACTGATGAGGATCGCGACTACATAAAATAAAGTATTGCTGCATGTACTTAAAATATGTAAGTACTTTGTAGGTATAAAAAAATTGATTTTCATGGTTTTTCAGGGATAATCGTCACACCATTTCGTGTCGAAAAAGATAAAGCTGTAGAAAAATTCATCAAATTTATTTCAGTGGTTTATTAATCAAGAACTACATAGCTACATAACAATAATGTAAACAATATTACAATTGTAGCAGTATTTCGGCACTTTGAGATAACTAAGAGACAGTTTTTCTGTGGTTGAGGATTTCGGGTGAAGCTCGCGGCTTCACCTTCGGCCTGATCAGATTTCAGGCCATGAGCTTTCTCGGATCAAAAAATACAGGTATGTATAACGACAGCACGAACTACTTTTGTTGCAAAATAGGATCTATTTACAACTACTTAGGATGTCACTGTGTTTACTCGTCTGTACAATTCTAATTAACTCATCTCATAGACAGTGGAGTTAAACTGTAAATCAGCGCAAACGCATTAAAAAAACGAAAATAAAACGCCGTGTACGGGCGAGGCGCCAATGATTCATCGCGTTCTAAATCGGAACGCGCTAATGGAAGCGCGAGCGCATCTGTGGCGGTGGTATTGCCAGCGTGTTGAATACTTTTTGGTAATTCAAAGGTGTAGGTTCTACTGTAAACACGACGGTACATAAAGATTATGGCATTTTATGCAGTTGTGATAGAGCAGACAGTCTGATGAGTGATCGCCTGAACACAATATTAGTTACCTCACCGAAAAGGAGTAAATGTTTACCTGATTTCACCTGTAATATGCCTATTATCGAGTTACTCATGTCATGAAGACCTTTGGTTTAAATTATTTCGGTCCTCAGCTGTCTGTGGCTGAAAAATTCTAAACGACATTGGACGGCTCGTTTATTAGTTTGTGGCGTTGTCGAAAACGAATCGTCTAATGTCATTTGATATTACTAATCTGATCGGATAAAGATTTGCTATTCCTATACCTCATTGTAACAGTTACCTACAGTAAGAATATTACAAAATATTACACAATGAGCATTAAAGTCCCAAAACTAGCAACACCGTACGAAAGCACTCACCTACAAAAATTTATAGTGCGTTTAAAATGTTTTCGTTCTTAATTTCGGTTAGATAAACGACTCCGGCGCATTCGGCGCCTTTAGTAAAGT